AAAAAGACTCCTGCCCCTCCACGCCCATAAATGGCAAAACCCAAGGGTAAGACGAGGGTCCTCCAAGCAAATCTTCACCATGCAGAAGCTGCTTCTGCCGTGGTGGAGGTTTGCTTTGCAAAGGACAACATTGACCTCGCCCTTATACAAGAGCCTTGGGTGGCCAACGGTCAAGTTCTGGGATTGGCGGCTGCCGGTAAGATTCTTGTCAATGCCAAAGGCAGTAGACCCAGAGCTTGTATAATTTATAATAAAAATATTGAACTTTTAGCTGTTCCAGAGTACTGCAATGATGACCTGGTAGCTGTAGCCTTCATAAATCTCAAGGGATGCACAGGGGCCAGAGTAATCATTTGCTCAGCCTATCTTCCCGGCGAGAACGCAGATCCTACCATCGAGTTAGAGCGAGTGGCGGAGTTCGCCCGAAAACACAACGCCGAACTTGTGGTGGGTTGTGATGCTAATGCTCACCACACAGCCTGGGGAAGCACCAACATCAACGAAAGAGGTGAGTTACTTTATGATTTTCTCATCTCCAACCGCCTGGTAAGCCTAAACTTAGGTTGTACACCAACCTTTGTAACGCGTGCTAGGCAAGAAGTGTTAGACATAACCTTTGCTACCAATAACATGTCCAGGCGGATAAATGACTGGCATGTTAGTAGCGAAAACTCGATGTCTGATCACAAGCGCATTAAGTTTGTGATTGGATCATCACCATCCTTTGAAACCGTTACTTTTAGGGATCCGAAAGCGACCTCCTGGGATATCTATAGAGATAGCCTAAGGAGGAATTTGGAAACGTTTCCTAAAAACATCAAAACAATTGAAGGTCTGGAGTTAGCGACGGAGACAGTAACCGTAGGTATCCGTGAAGCCTTCGAGGACAGTTGTCCCGTCAAAACCAAGACCTCAACACGAAAAGTTTCTTAAAAAGGAAAAAGGACTACGCTTTACCAAAGTCCTTTAGACCTATAAGCCTATCTTCCTTTCTTCTTGAGACATTGGAAAAGGTTATAGATAGATATATAAGGGATGTAGCTCTAGCTACGAGGCCCATACATTACAACCAGCATGCAAAGAAATAGCTCTTTGTGCCTTTCTAGATATTGAGGGCGCTTCGACAGTAGCCCCACATCACTGCTGATTGGGGGCCTAACATCTACAAATGTTGACCCCACAACCATCAGATGGGTGAAGTCGATGCTCTCAAACAAAAATAGCGCTATTTCAAACCTCGATTGAGGTTGCAACCACAAGAGGCTGCCCACAAGGAGGTGTTTTGTCACCCGTTCTTTGGACTCTTGCGGTTGACCATTTATTGTACAAAATGGCAGACCTACGCATTGACACATTGGGTTATGCTGATGACCTTGTGATCATTGCAAGGGGCTTTTGCCAAAGTACTTTATCTTCAATAATACAAAGAGCCCTAAACACCATAAATAACTGGTGTAGGGATAACAGTTTACCAGTTAATGCTGATAAAACTGTTATAATACCCTTTACCAAAAAGAGACGGTTGGACAAATTAGTCCAACCAAAACTTAATGGCAAAGAAGTACCATTTTCCACGGAAGTTAAGTACTTGGGCGTAACAATCGACCAAAAACTAACGTGGAACTCTCACCTTAGCAACGTATGCCATAAGGCAAAAATTGCTTTAGGTACGTGCAGTCGTTTGGTCGGGAACAACTGGGGCTTGCGTCCCAGTATGGTCCTATGGCTGTACAGCAGCATAGTGAGGCCGATTCTCACCTACGCCTCTATTGTCTGGTGTAACAAGGCCAACCAAAAGATGACTGCGGACGGACTAAATAGTTTACAAAGGACTGCCTGCCTAATGGCAACTGGAGCTATGCGATCATCGCCTGGAGCGGCTCTTAATGCACTTCTATGCCTAACGCCCCTAGATCTCTATCTAGACAAGGAGGCGGGGCTAGTTTGTATAGGATTAACGCCCAGGGCGGTCTGAGCTTGCTCTCCTAGGCTCAGATTGAGATCCATGCTCGACTCAATTAAGGAATCACCTGTCTTATGCATGATCTCAGATATCATGCGTCCACTATACACTTTTAATAAAAAGTATATAGTGGAATTACCCTCCAGAGAAGACTGGCTGAATGGCCAGGTCATCTGTGAGGTCGGTAGCCTCATATGGTATACCGATGGGTCAAAAATGGGCCTCGACGTAGGCTTTGGAATTTATCGAGAACGCCCTAAATTCAAGCTTAGTTTGAATTTGGGTAGATACCGCCGCCATACTTCGGTGTGCGTAAATCAATCTGCAAAAACACTATGTCAACCATAAAATTTACATAAACTCTGATAGTCAAGCAGCACTGCTGGCGCTGAGATCAAACTTAGTGAACTCAAAGCTAGTTGGAGACTGCGTGAACCGTTTAAACGCCCTGGGTTGTAACAACAGGGTCGTTTTAAGATGGGTTCCGGGTCACGAGGGCATTGTAGGCAACGAATTTGCCGACAAACTCGCACGGGAGGGCTCAAAGTGCACATAATTTGGACCCGAGCCATTTTGTGGAATCTCAAGAAGCCTCGCCGATTGACCCTTGTAACTCTTTATATAAATCACTTAAGATCTGGTTTGATACACCAGGCTTAAAACATTCTAAAACCTTAATCCGGGCTTTTAATCGCAATTTCGCTTCAGAAGCCCTGGGATTAAGTAAAAATAAATTGCGCATCCTGGCAAGAGCCCTAACTGGACACTGTTGTCTTAAAAAGCACATGTCCATCCTGGGACTAAGCAACTCAAGGATGTGTCGGTTCTGTTCCATAACGGAAGAAACACCTCTACACATCCTAACCGATTGCGGACGCTTAATGCGCAAACGTAACACTCATCTGGGAAACTATCTACTCCGCCCAGAAGAAGTGAAATTGCTCACGTCTAAGCAACTCCTTCAATTCATTGAAGACATAGGGCTTAGCAGTGAACTATAGCCATAGCAGCGATCACAATAGATCTTCTAGGTCGCAGTGATACTGGTCTCTTTACCTAGACCTGCATAGCTGCTCGCACATAAATAAAAAAAAGATATGTTATGATTTTTTTGGAGTGCTTACTAATACCAAGAGGTTTGAGAAACTTCCATATATTGGCCGGAGAAGAGTTAAAGATATTATCCATAATAATATCTTTAACTCTTCTCATAGCAACGCTGCCTGTGTCTTTCTGCGTCATTATCATGTTCTGTAGCAATAGTTCGGTTCAATAAAGTTTAAATTAAAAAAATCGATCACTGCGACGCAAAGACTACCCAATAGTAATATCACTTTTCTAAGGGTAAGTTTTCGTTTAGAGCATTGGTTAAGTGCTGAACCACGATCCAACCAACTTGCTGAAAGCTTGCGATAATTAAACAGAATCCATTTTTGGTCGCAAGTATTTTTATAGAATAAGGGTGACATCTACACCTTGATTAATCAAGTGGGATAAAGATGGAAAGAAAAAAAAGGGGTTTCCGGATCTCTACACTTACTATACGAAACACAGCAGTATTATACGCTGCTATTTTACGCTGGTATTCTGTGAGAGCGTGGTTCTTCCTCGGTCGAGCCAACCTATTCGTGCTACAACCATAATATAGCTGAAGCATGGTTCTACCACGCAAAAAAGTAACAATGCGGTTCAATTTTTTTTTCATTTGTGTGCCTGGTAAGCAGTGTACTACGTAAGGCAGTTCTAGACGCGTACTTGGTGTTGACAATCATTGAGTTCGTGAGGGGTGATTTGTCAAGATTTTTACCAATACATACTAATAAATACATACAATATACCTTCCGAATTTGACATTTTCATGTTAACGTCGAAAAATTCCGCTAAAGGAGATTAGTATATCAACTTAACTTATGTGGTAGCAGGCAAACCAAACCATCCATGGTGGTGCGTTCGTTTGTCATATTCGCTCCGTAAACGTCGTTAATGATGCGTGTCGCTTGTGCCGCATTGCCGCCACGACGGTACTCATATACCATAATTACTCGAATTCTAACGTATCCGTGATGAAGAATCAGATTTAAATTTGATGAAAACGAATCGCTAATCTATAAACAAACGACCAATTTTGCAAAAAAAAATCCATATTTTATTTAAATGAAATCAATTTGAAATTAGAATTCTTAGTCAAACAAAAATTATTTTAATTTGAAATGGTCGGTACCGCAGAACTGTAATTTCATAGGTAAATACCTATTATATGCTTACGTATATGCAAATGTATAAATGTATAAACAAATATACAAAAATTTGTCGCATACAATATAAAGCTGTAAATAAAATCATAATTATTGTAAAGAGATTGAGACAAGTAATGCTATTTTACTAATTGGATCGCGCTTCACGGACGCGGACAAAGACAGGCCATTCGAGAGCTTAACAACCTGAACTATAAAAGATTTGTTAAAGAAGGACATATCGCATTTATACGAGTAGTTGAAAATATTTTTCCCAATCTTCAGACGTAACTATTATCAAGCCATTGATTGCTATTTATTTTCTATCCATTCGAATCTACTTTTAACTCCGTATTAGCACTGATGTTCCTCCCATGAGAAATAGTAGATTCTTGAGGCCAACGTTATACATCTTCTGTAAATGTCATGCCAATGCCATCCGTTCATGGATACTGGGTGTTTTAACTTCTGATATAATGGTTCGGTGTCTACCGGAGGTTATGAGATCTTTCAGGCTTAGTCGGCCTTTACGACCACCTCGAGATAAAATGGATTGTGGATAACTTTACAATTCAACGCATTACATTATTTTAGGACAAGCATGATAAAAGTTTACTTTATAAGCTTTAATTTGAGTAAGTACACTAAAATACTGTTTTTATTTGGTCTTGGTGTAAGTAAAACCTTGTTCATCAAAATAACGATAGGATTTTGTAGCTCATGCCATTTTCTTCTTTCATAGTATTTTTTTAATATACTTACTATAAATCATTTCTAATATACTAAAAACTAAATAAACTTACCTTACACCAACTTTGTTACACCTTCTCGTCATATTCAAAAAGTCATCTCCATCTCCAGAACGGGTTTTCAACATATAAGACATTACTTGATATCGTTCGTACCATGTCCTTTTTCCATTGTTCAAATGAACAATCACATTCTCAGACGGCGGGGAAATCTTAAAAAATTGCATTAAAATTAATACATATAATCTTTACTTTTGTACGAAAAAAAATACATATGTTACTTAAATATTCATTAACCCGTAAAAGTCTGCAGTTAGACATGGATCTCTTTCTTGAAACTTAAATCCTATATGATTTAAAATATGGAAAAAAAAGAAATTTTAAAATATGAAACCATCTACAGATAAAAGCTGTAAAGTATCCAGTAGTAAATATAGTAAATCCTCTCGCTATTACATATTTAAATTCGTTTACTACATATAACTTTCAATATTAAATAAAGATTATAAATGTAAGTGTGTATGTATACGCAATACAGAGGACACTCTTATACATATAGTGATATTCCCACGTCTTATTGTCTCGTATGCAATGAAACGCTTATGCGGTCAGATCAGAAATTACGATATGGATTCCGTGTAAAATAGGAGCAAAACGCAACAGATGTTGACAAAAACTACAATATTGTTACAAAATACATTGATCTCAAGTTCTAATTATATTTTGAAGTCTTAATAATACTATGGCTATTAAGTCGTGAAAATGTATTAAACGATATCGGCTCGCCTGGTTTTCATTCGTTTCGTTTTTGATTTTTGTTTTACTAATCACAACTAGCAAAACAGAACATTTATGAAATCACAAAGTGATCTTTTCATCTTTCCATGAGTCACAAAGGATTTTCTATTTGTTCAACTATTTGACGTGACAATTTGAAAATTGACATTTCCGATAAATTGTGATTTCCTAATTTTAGCTTTTATACAGTAATTCAAGTTGAATCATGCACCTGGGGGTTCATTTTAGGAAATCCTGGAGCTGGAAAAAAATATAAAGTTGCGCTGGATAATTATGGGATTATCCGAGGTCCAAAGAGAGGGAGAAGACACAGTAATCTTCGAATACGGCGACTTATTCTATCACCATATATCTATTCTACAGGGTTCGGCTCCGGAACGTAAGGGCACTGAAGGAACACGGATGGTTTTTAGTCAGTAAAAAGTCTGACACTCCCTTACGCTCCACCCAGAGCGAAAGGGGTCATTAGATGATTTTCCATCCGCAAAAAAAAAAAAAAAAAAAAAAAAAGGGTGACTATCTGTCCAAGGAGGTGTCTCGTCAAGGTAGATCTCGTCCACAAGTCTATCGTTAACAACGTTGTAAAGTTTGTGAGTGAGTTGACGAATGTAGCGTTCCTTATAATATTTAAAATCATAAACGTTATTCGCTAAAGGTCATACAGGTTCACGCATTAACCTGCAGACATCCCGATGAGGAGATGGGAGAAATGTATGAAAATATCTGTAACTTCTTTACGAAGAATATACGGCAACTGTTCTGTCTACGTGCTGTTTTCGAGAGACGTTACGAATCATCTCGCTCGCAGAATCGACGACTTCTAGCCTCCCGAACAAGCCAGTTTCGGTTTCTTTATCAACATAGACTATATACATACCCTTCGGCAAATTTTACAGAAGACCGAGGAGTACAATCTGCCACTATATTTTGCGTGTGTAGACTGTGAGTAAATATTTGGTTCCATCAAATTTCGGTTGTGCTCCAGTCCCTTCAGTGGTGCTAAGATTACTGTCGGTATATCGAAGTGCTGAAGTGTTTGTACAGTAGGTCTACGATGGCTGCCTGAGTACAGAACCAGAGTACGAAACCTATCCAACTGCAGGGAGGTATAAGACAGCGCGACGTTACATCCTCGGAACTCTTCAAAACATTTTCCAATGCAGCGGACATTGAAAGACGATTTCAAGCTACTGGACTGGAAAGGAATCAGTGGCGAGTACATCACTCGCCTTCGATTTGCCGACAATATAATCCTTACGGCAGAATCATTGGTGGACCTGAGTTCTATACTCAATGACCTCAATAGTGCCTTCTAACGGATAGGTCTTAAGATAAACATGGAAAAAACAAAGAGCGTGTGTAACGTTCACGTCACACCTATGCCGGTAATTGATGGGAGCACTAAGCTCGAAGTTGTTGAAGAGTATGTTTATCTGTGATAAATAGTACGACTACATAAGTCCAACTTCCACCGAGAGGTTAATCGTCGGATTTAACGCGGCTGGGCAGCGTTCGGGAAATACCTCAGTATACCTCAAAACTTGAAAACGAGATTTTGCAACCAGTGCGTGTTCTCAGTGATGCCTTGTGGATCTGAGACGTGGTCCTTCACTGCTGGCCTTATTAGGAAGCTCAAGGTCGCTCAGAGAGCTATTGAGAGGGCTATGCTCAGAGTTTCTATTTGCGATAAACTTAGAAATGCGGATATCTCCAGCAGAACCAAAGTGACCAACATAGCCTAACGGATTAGTAAGCTGAAGTGGCAATAGGTCGGCGATATATGTCGAAAAACCGACAACTGATGAGGAAAAGAGGTTCTCGAGTGACAGCAAAGTGTAGCACGACCCTCTTTTAGACGAATTGGTGGTTTGACGTACAGGAAGTCGACGGATGCGGTTGGCTAAGGACGGTGCTTTGTGGGATTCCTTGGGAGAGTCCAATATTCAGCAGTAGACTTGTGAAAGGCTGTAATATTAATGGTGAATGATGAGTTCATTTTAGGGATAAATTGGGATATAGAAAATGCAAAAGTATTGTGAAGGACGTCAAACATGAGGTTATTGAAACATAAAATATAATTTTTTTTACTTTTCTAGCATAATGATATGACAGATGGCACAAAAAGCTCTTAAGGTTGGAAAAATGTCCACGTAGTAAATTCTCGTATATGTCGGAAAGTACAACACGATAAGCCAATTGTGTGCGAAATAACAGGATAGCGTTAATTATTAAAAATGGTAAAAGTGTGAGAACTGATATTCAACTTGCTCTCTTGCTTGCGCAATTTATCATTATCAATAATAGGATAGCGTAACGCACTATACATTCACCATAGAGTAAACACAGTTTGACCATACCGCAGTATGTCCCCGTCACAATTACACACCAGTGCAATGTGAAAGACACAACTACATGATAACACCAAATTATGCAAACCAACAGCAACCTTACCCATCTCAACGTAACACAGCACAGCCTCTCAGCAACACCATCCTCCTTGTCTGCACCAGAAGAATCACCACAATGGACAGAACAACGACTATCTTAGCACGCGTAGAATGACTTCACTCGTGAAACGACTCAAGCGGAATCTCTCGCGCTCTGCACCTACACTGAACTTTATACTGCACAAACGAGTGGGAGGTTTTCTCGATATACCCTCAATTCCTACAAGTGACGAGATTCAACCGGCATTTTATTAGATGCACCTACATGTATATTTAACTGTTTTTATTGTTATAAATAATTTTAGAAGTTAATAGACTCATGGAATTGAACACTTATTTTGAACTTTACCTATTTTTTCAATGCATATCGATATCAAAGGCAAAATTTCCCTGACGCAAATGTTCAAATGAATATTCTCGAATATATATATGGATATATATAGCGCGGGCAGTAAAACAATCCGAATCTAATATTGCATTGTATTTATTTATTGTTTTACAGCATATGAATATGGTAGAAATAATTAGTGTTGTGTTTGATTATATTGCAGTCGCTTTCAGATCTAAAATATGTTTAACGCAAACAACGCCTTCACCTACTATTTGTAACATTAAGTGGATAATGGGGAAGCAATTTTTTTAATCCACAGTTTTTCTCGGAATTATAGTGGATACGAAGCTTCAATGGGGCATCTATATATCTAAACTGGCTCGCAAACTTAGTTTTGCAGCATAAACTCTAAAAGAGATCAGAGCCCTTACTTGTGCTGAAAGAGCTAGATTAGTATGTTTTAGTTATTTCCATAGCATAACATCGTACAGAATCTTGCTATGGGTAATGAGACACATTAAATCTATCCTTGTTTTGCAGAAGAAAGCCATAAATGTAATTTATAACTTAGTTCCGAAGGGGTGTCTTACAGAACATTTATATATTAACCTTGGCATTTTAGTATATTTACGAAATTTTTATATATGTACACTAAAACAACAATTATTATTAAAAATAGTGATGTACATGACTGTAAATACTAGAAGAAGAAACTTTAAATACTAAGATTTGAATTATCAACCATTAGCTCAACCGCTGTTCCTTAATGTTTTATACATGGCGATTTTTCCGGACCGATACCACTATTATTTATTCTGTGCCGATACGACCTGGGGACCTTCAAGAAAAGAGCTTACTCCTTTCTAAAGGGCCGGCAACGCACCTGCAATTCCCCTGGCGTTGCGGTTGATCATGGGCGGCGGTAGTTATTTAACATCAGGTGAGCCGCATGCTCGTTTGCCCCTGCTTCTATAAAAAAAACTTAATTGTGTAAAATATCATATAAAAATTTTTTTGAAAACATAGTTCCGCTGGGTTTTCTGCTGAATCTTCCCTAAACTGAAACCTTTTTTTGGTAAAGCTTAAATGACTAATTGTGATCTATATTGATTAAAAACTAATCTATTATTAACATTGCAAAATAAAATTTATTACCTGAACTCCACCGTAACCCTTTGGTGCGAGAAATCTCTCACATTCGTCAGCAATATCATTCCATTTCCACTCAAATAAATGAACGATGGTCGATCGATCAGGTAACTGATTCGTTCCGTCATGGTGGTCGCCGAAACATGCTTCAATTACAACAAATATCACTATTATATTCAAGTTCATTTCTGAAAAATAAATCCACGTGATGCCACATTAGATTAGAAAATTAAAGTAAATATTATACTAGTAATAATAAAGTATATTTTACACATAAATGAGCCATGCTGCAGCTATATTGTGGGTCTGTTTGACCGGGCAAGAACTACGCCCGCACAGAATACCAGCAAAAATAGCAGTTTTTTTATTATGTGCGAGCAGCTATCCAGGTCTAGGGAAAGGGACCAGTATCACTGTGACCATAAAGATCTATTGTGATCGCTGCTATAGCTATAGTTCACTGACTAAACCCTAAACCCTATGCGTTCAATAATTAGAAGGAGTTGCTTAGCCGTGAGCAATTTCCCTTCTTCTGGGTGGAATAAATAGTTTCCCAGATGAATGTTACGTTTGCGCATTACGGGTCCGCAATCAGTTAGGACGTGCAGAGGCGTTTCTTCCGTTATGAAACAGAACCGACACATCCTTGAGTTGATTAGTCCCAGGATGGACATATGTTTTTTTAAGAACAATGTCCAGTTAGGCCTCTTGCCAGAATGCGCAATTTAGTTTTACTTAATCCCAGGACTTCTGAAGCGAATTTACGATCAAAAGCCCGGATTAAGATTTTGGAGTGTTTTAAGCCTGGTGTCTCAGACCAGATCTTAAGTGATTTATTGCGATAAAGAGTTTTAAGGGTTAATCGGGCTAGGCTTCTTGAGATTTTACAGAATAGCTCAGGTCCAAATTGTGATTGTGATTGTCTGAACCCTCCCGTGCGAGTTGGCAAATTCATTGTCTACAATACCCGCGTGACCCGAAATAACAGTTTAATGCTACTATGTTTCCTATGACGAGTGTAGAGAACCAGAGACCCTTTTTACTGGAAAAGAGACATTCCATCGTAGTCCTTAGGAGTGACCACACATCTGCATTTTGGTTCTTAATTGCAAATAGATCTAGATGTTGTGTCTGACCTAGTAGAAATCGGAGCATAAATGTAGATGCCCATCGGTCACAGTATTTACTCTAACCATCAGATGGATTGTGTGCTCGTTTGTCACCCTTATTCTATAAAAAATATTTAGTGAAACTAAGCGACAAGCGTGCATCGTAAAGCGCCAACGGCAGGCATATTTAGTGGCCAATAGTCAGGAGTAAAACGTAATGATTATATTATACTCTTTGCTCAGCGCATTAATTCTAGAGCGTTAAGATACTTAGTAACGTCGTGCATAACGCACGCCTTATGGAGCATAACGCATACTTGCGTGTTCAGTGAAACGTTCAACAAACCTAACGTATAGAGTTACGTAGAAAACATTCTGTTATATTCATTCCATAACAGCTTATAACAGTTCATTGCTGTCAATGGGCCACCCCCATAGATTATCTAGCAGGGAAGATTTTGCCATAGTTGCCACGCTTGATAGGCGGGTTGGCAACCTTTTGAACCAAAATTTTGAGTAATTATCAGGAATAATCAGATTCTGATGCCAATCTTCCGTTTTAATCGCCCTCTATCGCCTCTTAAGACACCCACGGGATAATTACGTTTAATTATTAGTAGTGAATATTCTTACACCGCCACTACACGGTTGTGTTATATTTATTAAACAAGATTAATCATTTCTTTACTAGATTTGTAAAAGCCTACTGTTGGACATAGGCATAGAGAATTCATTGTTTTGACTCCTCTCCCGATGAAGAGAAATTTTTCCTTAATCTCGACGCTTGGTAGGCCGACTAACGATCGTATTACCGACGTCTCACACCGTTAACGCTGCATGTCGTTGCGCTATCTGACGCAAACGATATTTTCCATAGACTGTTTTACGACTGAGGCATCTTTGCCTTTGCCTTTGTCTAATTAATTTTTTGAACGCTCTGCTATGTTTAACTATTACTATATTTCACACGTTTAGTGACGAGAATCATAGACCTTTTTACTAACGGCAAGGTAGTCTCGGGGGTAACAAAGCGCCTGTATTTTGACGCTTAAACGTGAATAAGAATAATGAAATAAATAATGAAAGATATATATAGAAGAATAATTCATTTATAGGCCACAGCGCCATCTGATGGTACAGATGAATCGCCTCTTACGACACCAACAGGACGAAATGGGATGATGGACACTCGTATGCTACTTCCACATAGTTGTTAAGAAACATTAGTACACTATGTTACAGTTAAAAAAATCCGGTCAAAGTTTTGACTGACTAAAACAGCCCAAATTAATTTTGGCTAAAAATATTGATTAATTAGAGCTTTTCACTAAAAAATATCGGTAAAAATTGGACTACCAGAAGTTTATTGATAGAATCAGGCATCACTTTGCGGAAATCCATTATAATAAAGATATTAATAGTTACTTTGCAACAATCCGCTTAATTAAATAAAATGATGTGTCTTCCTTAGTTTGAAGAGCTCTTCGCTCTGACCGCAGTCTTAGCGGTCAGCCGCCGTGGAGTCTACAACACCTGAAGATACCTCGTGTAGAGGCGAAACACGTGTCGTATTACCGTCGATGGTGTGTCATTCCTAGAAAAGTGGTGTTGGGAGTAATGGTGCTGGGATTATTGGTGACGGGATTAATGCACGCAATTGAGGGAGGGTGGGAGGTGCTCTTCAAACTAGAGAAGACACATAATTTTATTTAATTAAGCGGATTGTTATAAAGTAACTATTAATATCTTTATTACCAGCAGTTTTTTTAGTAAAAAAAAATGTTTGGTATTTTAAGGAAGCATTTATTGACAATCAATTTTAGGAAAAATCTACAGTCACTCATATTAATTTTTCAAATATCGGTGACAGTGGGTTGAAGTGCGTCGTACCGTCGCTGATAGCAAAGCATATATTTTATTGATCTTGTTAGACTAATCAAAAACTAGTTTAACCTAGGGACCACTAGTTCGACCGAAAATCGGTTTGGCCGGTAGCACAGGTTTTTCACTGCAGACTTAATTCGAAACTAGTTTTGACTGGAATTTCGGTCAAAAATATTTTGGAGAGAATCCTACTGTCAAGAGCACTTTTGACTGCTTTCGTCAACACTTTTGACCGGGAAACAGGCATCGATAGAATTCTGCAGTTTGTGATTATATCCTAGACGGCCCCCGCCATTACGTAAGATACGAAAGACCACAAATCTTCTTGTCACTGTCACTGGTCTAGCAGACTCAATCATACCATGACAATAATATAGATCCAGTGTAGCTCTACCATGTATAAAAACTATACTGTAACATAAACATGATAATAATAATGTCCTCCAGACATCGGCGCAAGATAGGACTAAAGTGGCCAAGTGTATGTGTAAGCACAGGTACACTCTCTATTCCCTCACTCTCATAGTCCGATGGGACGATAAACCGACACGACCAGAGAGTGATCAGGCGCAGAACTAACGGCTTTGCGTACTTTCCGAGGAACGGGAGTGAGATACCGACACTTCCTGACTCCGGGCAGCTACTGCGAATTTCTTGATGGAAAAGCTAAATAACTGATTTTTGGCCCGACCCCGGATTTGATCCCGGGACCTCATGACCTCAGCAGTCGCCCTACTACAAACACTAGATCATCGAGGCAGCCAACACACACACATATTATATATACATATATATACATATATATATATATATATATAAGTATAAAATGTGACCTAGCAGCAAACTGCGAAAGCTAATCATGATTATAGTGACCATTAATTCATTCATTATTTATTACAGCTCATCCAAAGTCCAATGCAGGTCATATAGGCCTCTTAAGTTGCCACGCCTGGCAAACGGGTTGGTATTTTTTTTATTTAAACTCTTAACAAGAAGATGGTACTGCCTGATATCGTGTTTCAGATTTCCTCTGTAGTATCTTACCGCACCCACGGGACTGTACGGATATTCTTATACCGCCAATGCACGTCAATTACGATACACAAGAGAAATTTATTTCGCTGTAAGTTAAGGCATGAAATTGATATAAATTTTTTAGTTATCTCAACTTTGCAATTTGAGGTTAAAGATTATTCTTATTATAAATTATAACTTTTGCTGACAGTAAGCCTTAAAATTCTATTTTAACTCCCCATAGCACATTCCGTGATACGTTTCACGCTTCGCATAAAATAAAATACAAATATAGCCTGCCTTTGTGGTTTTTACCCTCGCCCTCTAGCAAGGACGCTTATATATGTAAATATGAAAGTTATTTCTTCGCAACACCTCTACTTGACGAAATAAAAAATTGCCTTTTTAAGACCGTAATTATACAATAACTTAGGTACTTATATTCGACCTAAAGAAATTAAGAAATTCGTTCATCTTTTGAACAAAATATTGCTTTTTGATTACATAGCACGTTTCATATTTATTTTTAGAATAGAACTAAAACCTCAAAATCAAGAAAAGTTAATGCTTAAAAGTTCACATGAGAGAATTCCACTTCTAAAAAAACCGAGATATATATATATATATATATATATATATATATATATATATATATATATATATATATATATATATATATATATATATATATATATCTTGCAAATGTATTGATAGGTAGAAATAGGTCAGAACTGAGTAAATTAAAAAGGCAAAACTTACCTCCTTAGTTCTAGCTCTAATATTTTTATATATACATAAGAATGATTAACCAATACTTCTGATTGGGCTTAATTTCTTACTGAACTTGATAGGTCTGATGGTATTGTAGACAAATTATAATGCAATTAATACATAAAAGAGGCAAAGATAACCTATCGTTCTTGCTTACTAAGCTAAATGACGACTTTATTTGTGTCAATGCTAACTTGCCTAACAATAATGTCGTGTAGTCTGTAATCATAGAGTAATCTGTCTGTAACTGACCGTAGCGCAAGAAGATAAGTTTTATACTTTACGATCTGTTTCGTATGTTGCCATATTGTCCATTATTTAAAAATATTTTTTATATTGCTTTAGAAACATGTGTCTTAAACTTTGATTATAAAATATGTTATGGACCAAGTGATTAATTAGGGCACT